AAGTATATTGTTAAGTTTATAATACACAAACATATGTTTCTTAATACCCCCCCCCCCTGTATTTGCCCCTGAAAAATCGTTTATAGATCAATCATTCTTGTACATAATTGTACATAATTATGCACGACAAAAGCTGTAAACAGATTCAGTAGCATTGCCCACGAAAAACTAGTGTCCCCTGGCCCCTGGACCAGGAAATTATGTAAATTTACATAATTATTTAGCCCTAGGTAAACAGTAGACCCGTAGCTGGTCTCGGCATTGGTTAAATATGAATTCAGCGAACTCAATATGCAGACCATATACACAATATTTTAATATTTAAATATTAGCAAATCAAACATAAGACAATAAGTAAGGATTTGTTAAAACGCCCCTTCATTAAAAAAAATACTTTTAAAGCGCAATGCCGATATTTTTTGCATTTTTAGTCCCAGACGACTTGAGCAATTACAAGTTTCAACCCTGAAGGGGCAATATAATCTTTTGATTATTCAGTATAAATGTTTGTAAGCCCTATCATTAGAAAAANCAAATCAATCCTTCCACAACTATAATTTCATTTCTTCTTATTCCAAATACCAATTGCGAAGCCTGGTATAATCATTGCAATTTTACAGGCAATATATTACCTCCTCCCCTCCTTCTCTACATCTTGAATAATAGACAACAAAATTATTTTTTATCATTTTATTTAATCATATTTGATAACATAGCTTTTTAAAAGTAAAAAGGTAAAACATTAAGTTGACGTCTTAGTCTCTACTGTTAAACCTAATCTATTTTCAACCTTGAACCTATAAATAGACCTAAGACTAATTTAGATCTAAATTATTTTTTGAGTATTTAATTGTGTTGAGACAGTAAAACAGAATATTACTGGAGAAGTTGCGTGTGAATGGATTTTAAACTGTCTCAAGTCTTAGAATATTCTTGGTTTTTCTAAACCACTTACAGAACTATCTACCTATCTTACTACCTATCTACCTAGCTATCTACCTACATACCTACCTATCTACCTATCTTACTACCTATCTACCTGCATACCTACCTACCTATCTACCTGCATACCTACCTACCTATCTACCTACATACCTACCTATCTACCTACATACTTAGCTATCTACATACCTACCTATCTACCTATCTTACTACCTATCTACCTGCATACCTACCTACCTATCTACCTGCATACCTTCCTACCTATCTACCTACATACCTACCTATCTACCTACATACTTAGCTATCTACCTACCTATCTACCTACATACCTACCTATCTACCTACATACCTACCTATCTACCTACATACCTACTTATTTACCTACATACCTACCTATCTACCTACATACCTACCTACCTACATACCTACCTACTTATCTACCTACATACCTACCTACCTTTATACCTACCTAACTACCTATCTACCTACATTCCTACCTACCTACCTTAGTACATATCTACGTTATCTACCCTATTTACCTATCTACCTATCTACTTACTTACTACCTAACTTTCTGCCTAGACCCTTCTATCTACAAACCTAAACTAAATTGCTCAACTATTCAACTACTCAAGTACTCAACTATTTAACTATTTAACTATTGACTACCTAGCTACCCAGCCAACTTGAAGACTATCCCGGTTTAAAGAGAAATGAATGGAATTTATGTTGTGTGTAAAGCTGATTATATAACTATTAAAGAACTAACTAGAAATATGAACTTGCAAATATATGCTACTTATTTGTGTCGTAAAATCAAAATAGACCTGAATTCTATATATTTGGTATGTCAAAATAATTTTGTTTTTATCCAATTTTAAAATTGAAATGTCCCAGACAGACGTCATGTCTTTTGATAGTTCTTTCTTCAGTAATATCTCGTATATAATCAATAATAATACACTTAGGACTTCTAACTAAAAGTAAAGAAGAAAAAAGAGCAAGAAATTTTAATGTTGGGATAGAGTTTTGTATCGTACATATCACTACACAGTGCACACTGCACACCCTGTAATTTATATCCATTACGTGGGCTCGGGGGTTACGCCCCCCCCCCCCCCCCGNGAATGGAGGTATGAGAGTTGGCTTAGTAGAATGGAGGTATGAGAGTTGGTTTAGTTGAATGGAGGTATAAGATTTGGCTTAGTAGAATGGAGTTATAAGAGTTGGCTTAGTTGAATGGAGGTATAAGAGTTGGTTTATTTGAATGGAGGACATGAGAGTTGGTTTAGTTGAATGGAGGACATTAGATTTGGTTTAGTTGAATGGAGGTGTGAGAGTTTGCTTAGTAGAATAGAGGTATACGAGTTGGTTTAGTTGAATTGAGATATAAGAGTTGGCTTAGTTGAATGGAGGTATACGAGTTGGTTTAGTTGAATGGAGGTATACGAGTTGGTTTAGTTGAATGGAGGTATAAAAGATGGTTTAGTTGAATGGATATATGAAAGATGGTTTAGTTGAATGGATATATGAAAGATGGTTTAGTTGAGTGGAGGTATGAGAGTTGGTTTAGTTGAATGGATATATGAAAGATAGTTTAGTTGAATGAAAAATCTAGATTCTACTGTTGGCGCCAGATAATTGCTGGCATCCTTTATTCTTCAGACTTCCTCAGTTTCCCAGACCAGGCTTTAAATTCTATCAAACTTTGCTTTAATTCTTACACATTTTCTTATAGTTTCTTGGAAGTTTTGTTGGTTTTTAAACATTTAAGTTTTTAGTTTTCATTTTTACAGATTTCATAGTCGACTTTAGTCATATCAATTTTTTTTAATTCTTACAGATTTTTTTGGTCTTGGAAGTTTAGAGCATTGCAGATTTATATATTAGACTTCTTCCTTGTTTTATAAGTGTAGTGGGCTTTGAATCATTATAGAGAGTTTCTGCAATTCTTACAAATTTCAGCGATTTTTCTTGAAGTTCTGTCGAACATATCAGACTTTCTTCATTGTTACAGATTTTTTTTGTTTTCTTAGATATTAAATATTTTATTTTGTTATTCAAGAATCTCAAGTTTATAATATGTTTGCTAAAAATCTTTTTATTTGCCAAAGAAGACCGTTAAACTTTCTATCTTGCATCTGCCCTGTTTTATGCTGCATATTAGGACCGTTCTTCACAATTATACAGGTTTAAACTTATATAGTTAATAAACCTTAAAATATTTAATTCTTATACAATTGCACTCCTGGAGATTTCTTCCACTTCTAAAATAAGAGAGTAGAAAAATAGCTACACTAATGCTAAGTACGAAAACTCGTTTTGTCTTATAAATTATTTTTTATCTCTATATGCCCCCCCCTCTCCCCTTCCTCCCCCCTCTTCTATCCCAAAAAGTTTGTTTAATTGTCTGTTTTACAGCCTAATTTCAAGCGGTAAAGCCAACATTTACAGTTTACTTCTATCATTATGTCTAATTATTTTATATTTTATTTAAAATTACTTTGTTTAAAGGAATGATATATCAGCCTTATCTTGGCATAAGGAAAGGTTTAAGTGCGACTTTGTGACCTCGCAGGTCCCTTTTTTATTTTAATCTCAATTTGAATGTGTCTGTTTTCTGAACAGAAAGTTGAAAGAAAATGTTCCAAAAAATTGTGAGAATAAAATTGGAAAAACTCACCCGGACGGGAAAATGGCGGCTTCCAAATAACAAAGAAAAATATTGAGATGGAAGACACTAATTTCTACACTCGGCCGACTGCCTGAGTGCATTGTAGTTGCATTGCATGTTCCCAGAATAATGCAGTGTTTCTGCAGTGCATCCAGGCACAAGGCATATTTCTTCAACCTGTAATCCTACAATCCGTAATTCTCCAAACGTACAATCCGTAATACTAACATTTTAATTCTGTTTTTGTATCAAACCAAGAGCTAGGAACTTTTGATTGGATACTTTTGGATACGATATCTACATCTACATCTACATATATATAAAACGAGATCTTGATATCCCGTGCGGGCACTTTTTATTGAGGATCAATGCTTAATCTCTTCATTTCACTTATTGAAGTTCCCTTGAACCCTTGACTGGGTATGATTACCATGGTGGATATCGAATAAAGATTAAATTAATCTGCAGATTAACAAAAGATCAAGATCAAGCATTGATCTTGATATCCACAATATAAGAGTCCCCAAAAGAACAGAGTCGAGAAGTAATGACACAACACTTTCAAAAAAGTGTGCTTGGAGAGGAAAATGGGCTTATTGTGTACTTTACCTGGGGGACATGCACTTAAAGACGTAGATTAAATAGTACTTAAGTACATGTTCTTCCTTATCCCTCAAGTACACGGGTATTAGAAGAAATAAAATGTCTTGTTTTCTGTTATTCTGTATTTTTTAATCATGTAATTGAGTAGAAATCTGCAGTAACCTAGTTTATTATTATAGTTATTATATTATCATTTTTAGGGATTAGAGAAAGAAAATTTTTAAATTTTGTAATTTCTCTTATCCCTAATAAAACAATGTGTTAAGTTGTTTTTATTTTAGCTTTAAATCTTTTTTTTGGATTTAATTTTTTTATTTTCTTCTCAAAACACACTTTGTTGTAAAAAAAAATGGGTGATAAACTTTTAAAAAATTCGATAGTTATAAAATTTTATATTTTTTATTCTTTTATTTCACTTATGGGGCTGATATTGTTCCCGTTCTTGAGACATCTGTGACAGTACTTAAAAATTATTAAAAAGTATTTTTTTTTTAAAAATTAAATTATATATTTTTACGATATTTTTGTATAGAACATTTTGATTCTTGGTTTGGATTGGTGTTTTCAAGCTAGAACCTATCTCTGGCAGATTCAGGAGAAAAGGTGGGTTTTCAAACAATTCTTAAAATCAAGTTATTAAAAAGTTCTAATTTGTGAAAATTCGTTTCCATGATTGTTTTAACTGCTGATAAAAAAAAATTAAAAAATATTTTTCCTATCTTCCAATTGTGTATTGTGTATCTAGGTTACCAGGTACAGGTGTGGAGGTAAGTCAGGTTGACCTGCAGGGTTTCCAGAGAGATCTCAGATCTCTCCGACAACTGGCAGAACTGGCTCCTTGGCTTCAAGATAGGTAAACTTTCTTCTTTCTCCACTTTCTAAATTTCTTTCACTTCCATTTTCTCTCCTTCCTACCTTTCTTTCACTTCTTTCTTCACCACTTTTTTCTCTTCCATCTTTTCCCATTCTTACCTCTCTTTCACTTCGTACTTATCCACTTTCTACCTTTCTTTCACTTTCTACTTCTTCACTTTTCTTTAACTTTCATCTTCTCCCCTTCCAACCTTTTCTCTCACTAAGTTCTTATCCACTTTTCTTTAACTTTCATTTTCTCCCCTTCCTACCTTTCTTTCACTTCCTAGTTTTCCACTTTTCTTTAACTTCCATTTTCTCCCCTTCCTACCTTTCTTTCACATAGTTCTTATCCACTGTCTACCGTTCTTCACTTCCATCTTCTCCACTTTTCTTTCAATTCCATCTTCTCCCCTTCCTACCTTTCTTTCACTTCCTACTTCTCCACTTTTCTTTAACTTTCATCTTCTCCCCTTCCTACCATTCTTTCATTTCCTACTTCTCCACTTATCTTTAACTTCCATTTTCTCCCCTTCCTACCTTTCTTTCACTTTGTTCTTATCCACTTTCTACATTTTATTAACTTCCTGTTTCACCACTTTTCTTTAACTTCCATTTTCTCCCCTTCCTACCTTTCTTTCACTTCTTACTTCTCCACTTTTCTTTAACTTTCAGCTTCTCCCCTTCCTACCTTTCTTTCACTTCCTACTTCTCCACTTTTCTGCAACTTCCATTTTCTCCCCTTCCTACCTTTCTTTCACTTCCTACTTCTCCACTTTTCTTTAACTTTCATCTTATTCCCTTCCTACCTTTCTTTCACTTAGTTCTTATCCACTTTCCACCTTTCTTCACTTCCATCTTCTTTGCTTTACACCTTTCTTTCACTCCCTTCTTCTCAACTTAATACCTTTATTTCTCTTCCTTCTTCTCCACTTTATACCTTTCTTTTTCTTCCTTCTTCATTTTCTACCTTTCTTTCTCTTCCTTCTTCTCCACTTTATACCTTTCTTTCTCTTCCTTCTTCATTTTCTACCTTTCTTTCTCTTCCTTCTTCTCCACTTAATACCTTTCTTTTTTCTCTAATTTCTACCTTTCTTTTTTCTTTTCTCCCCTTCACCATATTTCTTAATTTTCAAATTATTCCCCCCCACCTTTTTCCCTCCTTTCTATTGAATAACTCCCCCCTGTTTTTCATATTACCATATCCATTTCTTCTAGTCATGTAATAATATTTTTTTATTAAAAAAAATGTTACACTCTTGTTATAATGTTGAGTTTTTTAGCTCTATTTGTTATTGCTAGGAGCCCGCTTTTTCTCTTTTAAACCGTCTTATTGTTTTCCCTCAGTTTGCCCTTTGGGTGCCAGGAGGGTTATAACTTTCCGGTCTCTGGTGCAATAAAAATATTCTGAACTCAGGCAGAAAATCGGTTCGGGGTCAATAATTCTTTTGGTTTTATTTAGAGAAAATGATAGAGTAGCAATGTAGTATTATACTCTGATAGTAAATGGCGAGATAGATAGATAATTGTAGCATACACGAATTATAGATAAATGGATAGGTGGAAAGGTGGATAGATGGATAGATGGATAAAGATAGATATAGATGGATATAGATAAAGATGGATATAGATGGATATAGATGGATAAAGATGGATATAGATGGATAAATAGACAAATGGATAAATAGATAAATAGAAAAATAGATAAATAGATAAATAGATAAATAGATAAATAGATAAATAGATAAATAGATATTATTTTTACAGCGTTAATATTAATTTTAAATATTTATTGATAAACCCCGCTAGAAGGGTTAGCATTTACTTTTTCTATTCCACGCATTCATTTAATTTTGTTTTTCAACAAGAAATCATTCATTTAGAATAAAACTTTGTTTTCAAGAACTAAACATTTCTTAACAAGGAAATTTCACCCAAAAGTTTTTACAAATAAGTTTTAAAATATTGCTAATATTCGAGTTTTGGTCGTTAAAGTAAACATGAACTTTTAATAAAAAGACTGAACAAAGAATGATTTTTTATTTAATAAATATTTTACAATTATAATTCTAACTTTATATTTGAACAGTTTAGACACTAGACGTACTTTATGGTGTTTTATTTCATGATATATTTATTCAATAAATAATCGATATTAATTTTATACTGCCATTTCTTTTATTTCATTTTTGATAATTTGAATAAATTTAAGTAAACCATAATTTTATCTCATTTTTAGTTTTGCTTAATATTTTTGGATCTTCTTTTGCTTTTTTATTTTTTTTTCAAGAGAAGAACTTGCATAAAATAATAATCCCTGCAACAGGTTTAAACTGCAATGCATTTGTCATTATTTCGCTCAGCATTAAATTTAAAATGATTTGTTTTTTCTATTTTTTCTAGTACCGGAGTTATTAAGTAGGGAGAAGTCGTTAAACTGACTACCCCTGGTTCAAAGCCTGAATCAAGTCTAAGGTGCATGCGGTAATGAATAAAAGAGTGAATCAGTGATTCAGGATTTGTACCGGTGGTAACTAGTTCAGCGACCTCTCCAATTGATAAAATTAAACTTGGTTCAAAATTTCTAAAAAATGAAATGGCTAAATGAGAAATTTTTTTTGAATATTTTGTTGTATTCAGGGTTAGTCTACAAGAGGGTGTATTGAGGATAATGGCTTGTGCTGCTCCTAGCAGAACACAGCATCTTCTTGAGTACACAGGACTCAGGTAAACAGTACAGTACACAGCACAGTACAGTACAGCACAGTACAGTACAGTACAGTACAGTACAGTACAGTACAGTACAGTACAGTACAGTACAGTAAAGTGCAGCACAGTAAAGCACAGTTTAATGTTAGATTTCGTTAGAATAGCATATCACTGAACATCAACATCCTCTTCAATTTGATATCCTAGAAGAAAGTAATTTTAAGAGTGTTTTCCAGTGGCTCATAGCTTATGTTTTTCGGATTCAAAGTTTTCAACTATTTATCTGATTTTAGATTCGCTGTACGCCCTGGGTTAGTTTGTATGGGTGGGAGGGAGGTGGGTGGTTACCTGGGGGAATGGGAACACGCCCTCGCTCTTGTCATGGCGTGCCGGTACCTTCCCATCCAGCTACTTGCCTCACCTGGAGAGAGAGCAGGTACAGTACAGTGTACAGTGTTTAGTGTTCAAAGTTGATCTACTAAACTTAAATCTTTACAAATACTTTAATCAAGACAGTTAAAATTGATTGATTAAATAATTTCTTTCATTAAAATTGATAGTTAAATTTCTTTTTCGACAGATTTATTTTAAATAAAATGATAGATTGACTGATTGATTAATAAATGGATTTATTAATTGATTAAAGGGATCGATTGATTGATTTATTGATGAATTTGTTGATTGATTGATTAATTGATTAATTGAGTTATTGATTGTTTGATTGATTGATATCTGATGTCCAGGAATGTTGACAGAGGCCGGCCGACTGCTGGAGAGGTTGGGAGATAAACGTAGGTTTGACGAGGTCACTGCTCTACTCAAAACCTTGCCTACTAACTATATGTAAATAGTGCCATTGATAATGCATGTATTCGTTCCTGTATTCCCCNGATAATAGTTATTTATCTAGACTTATTTAATCATTTCGTTGAAATCTCTTATTCTACAGAAAAGACAGTATAGTATAGTTAATGCCTATACAAGTTGACGTGTCGTACTTTTGCGATAGTATTAAGTATGTAAAAAGGTCTCTTGAAAAATTACTTTTTTCCATTTTGACCTTGTGTGTGTATTAAGTACAAAATACACAATTGTAAACCTCAGGCTGAAGTTAAAGAAGATTTTCAGAATTTTTTTAATTTTTAAATATAAAAATTGCCTTACGTAATCAAATGTTCAACAGGCCCAACCGTCTTAGACCGGTTTTAGGTTTTTCTACAGTGGTAGGCGATTATATATCAATACAATGAAAACTACTTTCGATTTTAATTTTGATTTATATCAAGCTGTTCAACAACATGGATACACAAACACAGAGGTCAACAGAAGCTCTCAATTAAAAAAGCTTCTCTTTAATTACTTATAAACTTTTAATTTGAAAAAAAGCTTGTTATTAATCAAACTTAGATAAAAAGTCTCTTTTTTGTATTAATATAATCGCCTACCACTGTAACATAACTTACAAATTGTCATCCAAATACGTAAACTTGAATTGAAAATTAGAAAAAACGAAGAACCTTAACACTAGTTTATACTCTGCATAAATACATGTGTATGATCAGAGAAAGAGCTACTTTAGTCTCATGTTAATTAGTTAACCCTGTATTCTCTATTCTTCTGCATATACAGAGTGTCCCACGAAACTTGACAGTAGAAGAAAGACTTAAAGGTCGTCTTTGGTCTTTGAAATAATTAGGCTGGTCATTGGTCAAACTACTTTTAAATGTATGATTCGTGAAACAATTATGAAAAAATCTGCTAGTTATGAATTTTCAAAATGTGATCCGACTTTTTTTGTGCTGTCAATATAACCGGAAATACTAAGAATTGTGTTCAGATTTCAATTTATTAATTCAAATCAAAATTATCAAAAATCTGAAATTCTTCATTTCTCCGTTAATATTGAAAGCACAAAAAGGCGGAACACATTTTGGAAATGACAGGGCTTTAGGATTATTTTGTGATTATTTACTCCAAAATTATACTTATAAAATTAGGTTTACAAATGCTGCAAATTATTCTAAGACCAAAGACGACCTTTAAGTCGTCTGTCTACTAGCATCTTTAGTGGGACCCCATGTGTATTAATGTTTAACTCTTAATAACAATGCACACTCGAAACTCTCTCTTACAATTGTTATGTTGGATTTTTAAAGTTATATTTTTCGCAACGCCCCAATGCATATATCAACGTAAAATGACAAAATGTTTATAGTGGCCTCATAATTCCCTTATTGTTGGAATTTCAAATTATAATCAATTTTTCTTGATTTTTTTGTTTCTTTTGTTGTCTTTTAATCTAATAAAATACGTATACTTAAAGATGGGCACGTACGACTTTTTTAATTTCGTTCGTTCATCGTTTGTGAACGAGCCATTTCGTTCGATTTTTTCAATCATTTAAAAAAATTGATTTCGTTCGTTCTTAAAATTATCGTTAATTTTCCGTTTACTTCGTTCGTTTTCTCGCTGAAAGATTGTTCAGTTGAAAACGTACATTAATTCAAATCGTTCCTTCAGTAAAAATAAATCGATCATTTTTAAATCGAAAAAATCGTTTGTTTAGTAAAAAACTATCGTTTTTTAATATTTTGGAAAATTAGTTCGTTTAGTAAAAACGATCGTATTTTCAAGTTCGTTCAAACAATTTAAAATAATTTTTTCGTTGTTTTTAAAAAGTTCATTTTTCAGTTCTCTAAACGATCCATTTCGTTAGTTTCTTTTCTGAACGACGCCCTTTCCCACTAAAAACTTTCGTTCGTTCTCAAAACTTTCATTTGTTCAGAAAACAATTCCAATCTGTTCATATACTCCAGTTAAGTTGTAAACAATATTATATCTAACCCGTATGACCTTATGCTCTTGTAATGCAAGTTATAAAAATAAGAAGTATCGTTCTCTATAAACTTGTTATTAATGCTTATGAATAAAAATGTTTGTATAGTTGCTGGTTAGTTTGGTGCGGGTGAAATCACGGTGTCGCATCAATTGAACTAATGATCGATTGGAACGAATAAATTATTAAGTACAATAGGTGGCAACGCAGAATGCGTACACTCTCAGTTCAAAAGTGTTTACTAAATTTACTAAATTACAAAATTATAAATAACAATTATAATTTTAGACTTAAGTGATTAACTTACAATAAAATATTGCAATTTTATTAGTTTTTATTTTTTGTTTAAATACTTTTTATTTCAATGTCTTGACTAAATAAACGGGTTAAAACTAAGCATATTACAGAAATGTGCATAGACATATTTGAAAGGGAATTTACTTGGGGTGAATTTGGAAACACGTGAGAAATATACAAAAATGCCAAAGAAAGTGTTTTAATGATTGAATTAATAAAAAATCTAAATACACAGGGTTACCCACAAAGGATGAGACTGCAAAGACAATTGAAAACTCAATATGACGATTCAAAATTCAAATTAAGTTTTCTAAAATGTAGTATTTTTATGGAATATTTAATGATTTGGCAAAGAAGGAAACCAGTTGACAGTGTAAACTGGTTAAACAGTTGCAGGTAATCATGAATATAAAAATACAGATAGTATAATACACTACATTCGTCTTTAAAGTCTCATCCTTAGTGGATAACCCTGTATATTATATATAATTGTAGGTAAGCTGTCTCTTACTTGTTACATTTGCCACTTGTGACGTTGTGTATAATTGGTCCATTCCTCTGTAATATTGTACTTAATAATCTAATTGGTTTGGACTAACGTTAGGAATGACTGGTCCTTTTGAACAAATATTTGTTCAATCGAACTAATTTTTCATATTTTTAAAAATTACCCCCTTTCAAGCTTTAAGTATATATTCACACAAAAAATCAAAATCTCATAGTAAAAAAATTATCCAAAATTAAAAGATAGCAGGAAGACGAGAGAAAAAAAAAACAAGAATTTATTATAAGGGCTAAAAGTTAGTTGTAACCAAGAAATATAGTTCCTTGGTTCTAACCCTACTTTTGAACATTGATTTGACTCCTACGACGACCTTCTATAGTCGTAATCCTCTTTTATTTAACTGCTCCGTGGGGGCTTAAATACTGCCGGTTTAGTTTCAACTTTGGACTAAAAACAATGTTAAAACACTAACCAATGATTTTCAATGTCAAATAAAAATCATTAAGAGTAAAGCTTCTAACACGTCTCAGTTTGAGTTAATTAGTTGTGTTTTACCCCTAAACAAAAATGTTAAATTAGTATAATTTGTAAACTTGCAGTGTGTTTCATATCATATTAGATTATCTTCAAGATTTAAAGCCAAAATACTCACATAATACTCCAAAAACCTGGGATTTACTGATTAATATCCTAAATCTCAATTGAGTGATACAAAACGATCTTATATTATGTGAGACACCCTGTATATGGTTTATCAATTTTTGATGTTATACTAATATTGCTTTCATTACAATCACAATTAAGAATTTAATTTTATTACAGGTTATAACAAGTCGAACGAAAAAATTCATTAAGTGACACTAATAAAACTATGGAATAGATACACGACATTTAAATCAATTTCATATGTTATTGATGTTTCTATAAAGCAAATCGGTCAAAGAGAATAGAATATATATTAGAGGGGAATTTAGAGAATCTCTCGGTATGAATTTTTTCAGTCCCTTTCAGCCTGAAAGGGAGTTCAAAGTGTACAAATCATGTAAATGTTCACAAATTATATGCAGTAGAGTACATTAATACAGTATGTTCCCTTGGCTATCCATTTCAATTTCGAATTCTTTAAAGCTGTTAAATAAACTTTATAATGAATTAAGTGAATAAAAAACATCATTTGATTAATAGTTATAACGGAAAATCATCGTTTGTAAAGTGAAAGGCATAAAGTCTATGTGAAATGATCATTGGTCAATTCTGAAACCAGCCTATTTCATAATTTGGTTTTCTTTTAATATTAATTTTAGAGTTTTTATAAAATGATGTTCCAGGGCCCAAAAGGTTATATAGCATAAATATGTGAAGTACACCTGCAGTATGGAAACAGTACAACAAAATGACCGTTTTACACTTTTTTCTAGTAAATTCCCCTCTATTATATATTCTATTCTTTTTGAAATCGGTTTACCAGTTCTACCAGTAGCCTAAAAATCAAATAATTAAGTGAAATATGTCGATTTCATTGGACTATTTTAAAATTAAACCTGAAAAGTGAAAAAGTCGTCTTCCTAATCCACAATTAGGGAGTCTCACTGTATAACTTTTGCCACTCAGATTCAGCTCGCATCTTTTAACCCCTAGCTTGACATTACTCGAAATAAAGTTTTAATTCTGAACATCCATGTTTTGTTCTGGGACTGTAACGACGACCTTCTGAAGACCTAAATCCTCATGTATCAAACCGTAAGTCCTCGTAATTTTCCATATTAATACATAAGAGACATAAGTACAATTAAAAGGGACTATTTACGTAATTTCAAGAGATCCTCAATAGCGTCCTTTAAACCTTTGACAAATCAAGGAAGAAACTCTTGCAGTTGTTAACAACTTTGTTCCAACCTGATTTTGAATAATTACTTAATAACACTTTCCAGAAGTCCCAGAAAATAAATATTTTCATCTCATTTTGTTGATACCTAATTGCTACCTAATTTCAAAAGTCACAGTAAAGTTGTTATTCTGTAAAATACTGTATGATTTGTCTAGAATATCTGCAAGATGAACAGTAAGGAGGAACAATTTATCATTTTACAACAGCTTATGCATTCGAAACTTAAACAAATAAATTATGAACATAGCAGTCTAGCAGACCAAACAAAAAGAGAATATCTCTAAAAATTTTAAAAATATATAAAGAAATTAAAAAATCATTTACAGACGACCTCGAAATATTCTATGTTTATCTATATGATAAAACAAGACATTCGTATATATATGTTGCGTATCAATTGATTTCAGCTCAATTGCTGGATCAATTGAGCTGAAATTTGTTAAGGACACTCATGGGGGGCCGGGGGGTGTTATTGGATAAAAAAAATTGACATTTTTTTCCCGAAAATATTTTATTTTTTTTTTTCAACATTTTTTTAAGCTAGTTTATAATAAATAAAAATTACTGTTTTAAATGATCGATCCCTGAATGATAAAAAATGTTGTTTTAAATGATATATTTACATATTAATTACGTAACATTTATAAAAGATTTAACCATAGCATTACAGCATTTTCAAAAAATATGCTATTTTTTGGTTTCAAATTGGTTTATATTAGGATAAAAGTAAATTTTTAGCTAGATACATGATTACACATATATATATATATATATACCTATATATAAATTAAAAGGAAAAACTGTATTTCACATAAAAGATATAAAAATTAAAATTAAGTAAGCAATTTCCGCAAAACCAATTAATTTAGAAAAATAAAAATTTATGTATATAATATTGATATGATACTTTTTATGATTGTACTATAATTGACAGGTCAGATTTTTTATCATAGAAGTTAAAATTTTATTATTAAATTAGATTTTTGAGCAGTTTTGGCGACAGCGTGTAAGTGCGAATGCACAATTCAATTTCGAAGCATACGAGAAGAAATATATTGTAAAGGTGAAAAAATTAATACTGCACTTATATCTAACGAAGCCAATGAAGCAAAAACAATTTGATCTGTATTTTTCAATTAACTAATTGACATTCAATTAACAGCTTACAGAAAAAGTACCCCGGTTGTCTTTATTTAGCACTCAGCTTGTCCCAATGAACCAAATTTACACTTTGTAGGAGTGTAAACGGAAAATATTATAGGGTTTAATACAGGGTTACCCACAAAGGATGAGACTTTAGAAACGGAATTGGTACTTTCCCTGTAAACTCTAAAATTATATCGCACAGAGCAGATTCATGACTTTCAAGAGTTTTTTTATTGGATTTTTGACTATTTTTCTACAGATTGATATTGCGTCTTTTTGAATAGGATATATTGTTGCGTTGAATATTAAATATAGAATAACATACAATAGGAGCAACATAATATTGGATTTTTCAACTTCTCTGACCACAAGTGGAGGGGGGGGGGGGTTGTACCAAGAAATATGAAGTGAAGAAAATATCAAATTCGTCCAGAGCTGGAAATAAATGAAGCCGTAGTTGCGCCCATAGTTTCTAATTCAACTACTTCTCTCTTATTCATAAATTTCTATCTCCTATCAATTAAAATTTTGATGCAGATATTCAAGGACTTTAAAAAAATAGAATTTGTACTTTTTGATTTGAAAGCTTTGAGAAATCCAATATGTTGTGGCTTATCAACAAAAAAAACATTGTGTACACTTTACAGGGTTATCTCCAAAAGATGAGATTTCAGAGACGACTACACGGAATTCCTTTTGGCTTGTATTCTTATATACTTTGTTCCCTGCAATATTAAACTTGTTTCTATCTTTGTTAAATTATCTATCTTTTTTCCCCGAGAAGACCAATAAAACCGACAGATTATTCTAAAAGAATTTTAGGTTGTCATTTAAGTCTTTTCTTTGAAGTTAACCCTATATATAAAGGGTTAACTTCAAAGGATGAGACTTTAGAAAGGACTTTTTCCAACTCAATAAATAAGCCATTTGATGCCAAAGAATCTGTTTGGCCAATTTGAGGCAGAAGCCTTAATTGAACCTTGGAACTATTAAACTGTAAGAGCTTCAAGTAAAGTCGTCTTTACAGTCTCATCCTTTGTGGGTAACTTGTATGTATATTTATACACCAACCAGCATCTCTGTTTATTCATAAAAGCATATTCCAGAAGTAGAGTAATAGGAACCCAGTAAAGCGGAACGGAATAAGAGAAGAGGTTTTCTGAAATACAAAATATAAAAATATATTCGTGTTTTTATATAAAATGTACACAGCTTACACCACAAGCAGGCTCTCTAGAAAAAAAAATATTAAGAGTCAAAACATATTTTAGTTTGACTTATTAAATTCAAATAGAGGTCATGGATTAACAAAATTGTAAGACGAATCTGTTAACTATTAAAAACACTATGTTCAATGGAACATCTTAAATATCTAAAGTTTATACACAATTGATATTTTATATATACATAGTTCTGATATTTTAACCCTCTGTAAAGCAAAGTCAAGACCACGAATAAATCAATTAAAGAAAAATGTTTCGGAATTTAAAGTTATACATCGATTTTCAAATTTGAGACTTAAAACAGGGAGTTCCGCAAAACTTTGGAAAGGGACACGCTATCTCAACATTCTTGTTGTTATAAAGAAAAATGATATACCACAACCATGCAAATCAACTTATTTAGTTAAAAGGGTCTGTACACACTGCTCAGTTGTTGTGCTTTGTTCATTGAACTGTTTTAAATTGATTAAAATTGAGTTAACGGCTCAATAACGTTTTGCCTAGTCACGCTTTGCCTAAAGTAACCGTTGAACCGTCGTCCCCCTACTCTACATTGCACGAGGGCTCTAAACCATAACTCCTCTTGTTTGCTACTTCCTTTATATTTAAATCAATGTTTACAAAGCCCTGGAAAAAAAATACCAAACTTGTTTGTTTTCTCTCAATTCTTTGAAGTTTAACTTTAACTTGGTTTCCTAGAACCAGGACGAGGGATGCATGGAAGCAAACAGTGAAAAGATGTAAAACCGCCATTTTGTTTTACTGTTTTAATATTGCAGGTGTACAGCACATATTTGTACTCTTTAACCTTTTGACTCAAAGGGACTGGCAATCTAGTTTTCGGCAGCATACGTATCCGGAGGGCTTTCAAGATGTCATTCCAGATAATGCATAATATAATCCTCAAACAATATTTGTAAACCCTTTTCGCGATGTATCGCAGTTACAATTGGCAATCTTTTTTTTATAATTGTGCATGCCTAATATTTTGGCGGGACGACTTATTGTTCAAACTCATTCAGAGAAAGTGCGATATTCTTTTTATTAATTGGTGATCAAAATAAAAAATTTCTCTGTAATGTATGGTCATAAAAAAAATTTAATTTTGTCATTAAATATTACCTTTACACAAATCAGCTTTGCACAAACACTAGAAAAAATATTACATTTTTAATAACTTTTTATTATTTATTCATGCTGAAGTTTTTAAAAATTTCATTTAATTAATAAATTGTAATCTTCCTGTCAAGTTTGATGAGAAAACCTGTTTATGAAATAAACAAAACAAGCCCTAGCTTTATACTTTTTTATGATTTTCTAGAATTACAGATCTAAAAGAAATCGGAATACTTTTTAACGCAAATAAATAATGTCCCATTTTGAAATCCTGGCCCCCTGACCCCCTGACCCCCCGGATTCCATCACATATTTCGCGAGTGTTTTTTTAAATTCTGTAATTCATATTACAGGGTGTTTTTTAATTCTGTAATTCATATTACAGGGTGTTTTTTTATTCTGTAATTCATATTACAGGGTGTTTTTTAATTCTGTAATTCATATTACAGGGTGTTTTTTTAATTCTGTAATTCATATACAGGGTGTTATTTAATACTGTAATTAATATTACAGGGTGTTTTTTAAGCCGTAATTTATGATTCTGGTACAGCACAGGTTAAATCATTTTGGATTACATTTATTAATGAGAGTGTTCGTGACAAATGAAACGGGGTATAGGCTTACAGAGAAAAATTATCGATGGTGATCGGTGATCGCTATTAATCTTACTTCTATTTGCTGCGTCTATAATGAGAACATTGTTAAAAACGACTTATACCGAAGAACGTAGCGTCCATACAAGTTTTGAAAGTTGCATCATTCGACTGGGATCGTTAAAAAATCCACACAATTCTAAACAAATCATTCAGATATTACGACCTATAATCAGCGATAATTTTTCGATGCATATTCGTATAAGTTAATATTGTATAATATTTTTTATTTGTTTTATATACAATGCACTCAAAACGCCGATTAGTTGGCCGCCAGGTACCTCTTCTCTCGATGCCCTGAATGATTCCACGTGGCAGAGACACCTAGCGGAAAAAATCGTCGTTTTAAGTGCAAAATCAAAATTATTGTGAAATATCAACTATGAATGCATCAAAAAGTTTTCGATGATTATACAGTGAATCCAAGATATATGAATACATAGCAAGAGTTTTTTATAATGTCACAATACATATTTAAGATTAAATGCCGCGGAAAAATGAGTTTAATATTAATATATCAATAGAATTCATATTTCAGGGCTATATAAAACTTATTTTTCCGTGGCATTTGATAGCTTAAATAAGTAATACGACATTATAAAAACTCTTGCTTTGTATTCATATATCTGGGAGTGTGATTTACTGTAGGTTGTAATATCTGAATGATTTGCTTGTTGTAATATCACAACAACTCAACAAATCCTATAAAAAAAGATAAAAAAGCAATTTTTTGGTATTTTTTCACCTTAACTTACCCAATGGCCAATGTTTAATAGTATAAAAATGATTTTGAAATTTGAAATTTGTGTCAAGTTTGTTTTTTAATTAGCAGTTTCCTTCAAATATTGAATCGTCTAATCCGAAATGTTTGGACGAATTTAAACTTTGAAATTGCAGTAATTTTTCGGTGTCAAGTCTCAATTCTATAAAATCAGAACTGACAAAACTTTGTATCATTATCAATAATATGAAGTGTATACTGTAAAATGTATGTTATAGCTTGAGAACCCAGCTTTGCCTTGAAACCAAGTTTTCTTTATAAAAATCAACCTATTCAACTAAGAACTTAAAACCCTAGCTAAGAACAGTCCCGGTGTTCTACAGAGTTACCCAATCAAAATTTGAGGCAAATCGGTTAAAGGGTTTCTGAATTATGATCGGACATACAAACAAACAAACAGATAATTACTACTTTTTAGATATGGATAAACTAGTATCACCATTTTTTGTTATTATCATCATTATAATATTTCTATGAATATAATGAAATGTAACATCTAGATTTTATAAAATATATTTAGATTTCTATTAAACAAAATCCAGAGCTTTGAAAATATGTTGAATATTTAAAATTTTGAAACATTAGAATTAAAAATTGTCTCTTTGAACTTCTGATAAGTTATATTTCAAGAAATTCATCAATAAAATATATTTATTAAAAATTTCTTTTTTTCAATTTATTTTCTTGTCAAATTGTTCCAGAGTTGTGAAACACCAATAGAGAGGTGGTTCATCTTAGCAGATCTAGTTCAACTAATTCTCTCTACTTCATTAATTCCTGCCTTCTTCAAGTCTTCAAATTTAAATATTTACAAAATCAAACTCTTAAAAATTTAAAAGTTTTAGTTCAGCTTATGGGGTCCGTTCTAATATACGATTTTTGATAAGAGAGTACAGAGATCTATTAAAGGCTAGAATATGCGATATTTTCCACAACGCGTTCCATTGTGTACAGCTGGAGTACACGACCAATGAGCAGACATCTAAGTTCAGGGATATTTAAGGATCCTTTGCATTCAAAAGACAAAACCTTCAAAACTATGTTTTTAAAAATTGTAAAACTTAACCCCCGCATAGGTATTATTTGCAACAAGCGGTGGTTAGATGGCAGTCAAAAACCTTTTTGATAGCCCAACATAGCTCATCTGATTAGCAGTCTATAAATGTTTAGTTTGTGATTTGTTACAATAAAAGAAAAGACTGTACAACAACCTAACACCTGCTTATTTACAAAAGACGCAACTGCGTATTTTGTAGTGGACACTTTTAAATTTAAATTTTCTATTTGAAAACACGCGTAACAAGAAATCTTGATTTTTCCTTCTTTCATTTTCCCAGATTGTGGTTTGTTTATATAATACCTGTTTGTGCACAGTTTCTTGATGTTACTTTGGTATTGTGATTAAAATACTTCTTACACAGATACTGATACTCGGGACATTCTAGTTGTAATCCAACATCAAACTCGTCTAAATCATGGAGTATATTATACTATGGAGTAGGATTATATGTCAAGGAGTATATAATACTATTTGTAGGATTATATGTCAAGGAGTATATAATACTATGGAGTAGGAATATAATACTATGGAGTAGGAATATATGTCAAGGAGTATATAATACTATGGAGTAGGAGTATATGTCAAGGAGTATATAATACTATGGAGTAGGAATATATGTCAAGGAGTATATAATACTATGGAGTAGGAATATATGTTAAGGAGTATATAATACTATGGAGTAGGAGTATATGTCAAGAAGTATATAATGCTATGGAGTAGGAGTATATGTCAAGGAGTATGCAATACTATGGAGTAGGAGTATATGTCAAGGAGTATACAATTCTATGGAGTAAGAGTATATGTATATAATACTATGGAGTAGGAGTATATGTCAAGGAGTATATAATACTATAGAGTAGGAGCATATGTCAAGGAGTTTATAATACTATGGAGTAGGAGTATATGTCAAGGAGTATATAATACTATGGAGTAGGAGAAAAATGCTCGATCGTACACCCCTGCATGTAACCATATATATACAACACATGACTTGGAAGGATGTTGTTTATGTTTGCATAATAACATCATTAGAAAAATATCTGAAAGCCTTCTTATACTTTTTTTCTCTTGAATTTATGAAAATATGTTAAATCTCGTATTATTGCATTCATAGTTTTATATTTTGACTTTTGATTTTATTTTTGAAATATTCTGAACACTACAATTCCTTCAATGACGTGGCTTTTTTGAATTAATGCAATGAAGTTTCTTCTGAAAGAAATTTTAGGAGCGAGGAACTTATGTGGAAAGAAATATTTCGCAGTTAGCAAGATTTTTTTTTGTCCCCAGTACATAATCGGGTTGTTACGATCAAATCTCGGAATTTTTCAATTGTGAAAGTTTGTTGTTGTCTGGGTTTATATTGATCTACTAGGGGTTGTAATCTGGCAGCACATTCATCCATCCATGCTTCATTTATTCTGAGAAGAGGGTTGACAAGAATCCAGCTGCCTAAGGGCTTCCAAGGCCTGAGAATAGTAGAGTGCAGACATTCTTCTGATATACTAGAAGGTAGGAAACATCACACACTGCTCCCTAACATCTGTAAGCCCGGATTGGATACCCCAACGTACCTGGCAACAATAGACTCTCATTGCTTGTCCACCATTCCTCTCTTCATCATCATTCACTTGGAGAAATCAACTTAAAGCTTCTTTCTTGTTGAGTTGCAATTACGCACTCTTTCGCTGCGAGAGTTTTTGACAGCCACCCCTCTGTCCTCCTACAGTCCCTACAGGTGGTCATAACTGCTTATTATCCAGATGCCGCCTTCAGATTTCTTTGAAATCACAGGTTTGTGTGGAGTACGGGAATCGAACTAGTGGGCCGTGAACATCAGTCTGCATGGACACCAATCCAGTTACTGGCTGTGGACAAGTGTGCTTAACTTCAGTGAGCTAACGAGAACTGCTGTCACACACCCCAAGATTATTATATATGCGGGATTAGCTTAAATTACTCCATATAATTATTCACATTAAAATTATTCCATTATCAATAGTTTAAAAAAATAAAGTGCTACTATACAACCGTACAGTTGAAACAAGAAAATTAAGCATTATTTTGTGTTTTCGATTTTGTTTAAACAAATAGTTTTACCAATAGCTTGAACAACTTATTCAAAATAATAAAGTAAGTAAATTGAGTCCAACAGGCAACAGCCATCTTTCTATTTACAGTTGTATGGGTTTCCCTTGCTCCCTTGCCTTGTATGCTCAAATGGTTAAGATTTATTCATCTGAATATTCTTTAACATTTTTACGATTTGAATAGTTTTAAGATTAAAGATTTGATTTGTTTGAAAAAAGAAAATGTCTGATATTCCAATACATGCTTTTTCAGATTGCTTTTATTTATGGAAAAGAAAGATTTGTTTGTTTTGACATAAATATTCTATTTGGATAAAGGTAAATCCCTTTTTTATGTTGGATATTATATTCATGAAAATGATAAATTGCAGCAATGTTTCTTAATAGATATTTTTATTTTCTTGGGGACAATGGCACTCTGGTCATTTTTGAATGAACAGTATTTTGCACAGAATTAATACCATTCTATGACTTTTGAGGGTTTCACTCAAACATTTGACAACGTTCGGATATTCGAAGCTGTTTGGCAGGGTTCGTTGAACTTGCAATTTGAGTTTAGCTGAGTTAGCTTAACTTCAAGTGTTTCAAAAGTTCCAAGCTGAGAATAGATTTTATCTATTCTGTAAGAATATGTTTCTTTCTTTGTCAAAAACTTCCAAAATCCACATTAAATGAAACCATGAAGCTGCCGCCAGTTTATATTTATCTAGCCCGAGTACTGTTATATGAGCTAATAGTAAAATAGAATAAAGTATTTTTAGCATAATTCTCATAATTCTCAAATGGAGCAAAAATAAACAGTTACCTGCACAGAGGCCTGTACAGCTGATACTTGTCTGAAGTTCTCTGCTCATAGTCTAGATACAGTACAGTACAGTACAGTACAGTACAGTACAGTACAGTACAGTACAGTACAGTACAGTACAGTACAGTACAGTACAGTACAGTGCAGTGAAATGCTGAACATTACAGTACAGAACATTACATTACAGTACACTGTACAACAAAATTTTATTCATATTCTAGATTTACAGAAGTAATGTAGATAGAAAGTACAGTACATTAGAGAACATTATTCTTTTGTTTTTAGTGGTTTTGCAGTACAATACAAACTTATACTAAAATATGAATGTTTTTAAAGTACAATAAAGTTCAATAGACATTACAGTTCAGTTCAGTACAGTTTAATACAGCCACAGAAAAGTTTGTTGTAACGCATTATAGGAAATTACAGTAATAAAACGCGTTTACAGTAAAAAAGAAGACAATTTAAATTTAAATTCTGAGAGAGAGAAGAAACAGATCTTTATAATCTTCACAATCTTCAGGCACATTTTCTCGTTTTTATTATTTGCTGCCTGCTGGGAATAAAGTATGAAAACCTTGAAGATTTACAGGGACTGTAAGCGTAATTTCAAGTGACCTTCAATTTAAAGGAGCATTACTGATTCACAACGGTATGCTTTAAACCTTTGACTGATCAAGGATGTCGGACATATCGCTGTTTGAGTTTAGACTGTGCAAATCATACATCCTTGTTTTAGAGGAATTCAAGCGGGTTTCGATATGAATTAACAGAAAATTCTCTCTACTCAATGAACAGTCAATTTTTTTTAAGGGTACCGTTGTGTATCGGGCATTGTCTTCTTTGCATGGAGGGTCACTTGAAATTTCGCTTACAGTCCCTTTAATATTTTCTTATTTTTACCTCGAGATGTAATAATTCCGTCTCGTTTTGGCATCCACACCTAGAAAATAATATTTATAAGGTTTATATCAAATCAGATAATTTTCAGATAAAAATATAAATTTGTTTTTATGTCAGAACATCTATAATTCATGAAACAGCCTAGAAAGTAAAAATGCAGAGTTAAAAATGGTTTCAAAACCGGAACCTTAGATACAGGAGCCGGTACAGGAGGGAGTGAAAATATGTATTTCCCCATTAGAGTTCATTCCCCCCTCCTCCTTTTTTGATCAATTTCTAATTTGTCAAAATTTATACTAAACCAAGCTACTGAAATAGGTAAAATGGCCAGGTACTTAGGAAGGGGCTGGGCGGTACTTTCTGTACATAACTAAGGCGAATTATATACAAAGCTACGGAGTTTAAGTTATTTGTCTGTAGCTATAGCTTAACCAAATCTCTTTCAAAAGTTCCCAGCTCTGGTTAAGTTAGGATAATACTTAATTTAAATGATGATTTGTAAAATACATTATAAAGATTACTACATAATCTTAGGGTTCAATGTATGAATTTTATCGGTCTATCTAATGCTTTACAGTAATCCTATTGTGACATTGACAATTTGAACATTCTCTCTGAACCGTTTTTTAACATTCAAGGATTTTAGCATTTAACCAAGTATAATGTAAACACATTTGAACATCATATTCGTTAAATTTGGCTCACAGTGATCCAAAATGTGCACACTCTCATTCCAAAATCGATCAACATTTTTGTCAATTATGCCTTTTAAACTAATGGTTCTAAAATGTACGTGTTTAGAGCTACAAAAAAGTAGAGTAAGTTGATATGGTAAACACCATGGCCAAGGTTTGGCGAAAATTCAAAGCCGACCGGTGGCCAAATTTAAAGAATTTGAGCGGCGGTTTAAATGTAAGCAGCGGCTTAAATATGCTTGGTTCCACTTAAATTTGTATCTAATGTTTCAAGATTTAAACGGGCGTTTAATTTAAACCGGGTTTTGGCAGATTTAAACCGCGGCTCAAATTCTTTAAATTCCATCTCGGGACTAGAAAATTGGTATAAATTGTTAACAGTAGTAGCGCATAGATCTTTGTGAACTTTTGTTAAATTATGCAACATGTTGACTCCAAGTCTGACTGAAAATAAAAGTCTAAACTAAACATAGCAAAACAACTATTTTATAATCTATTGAAATTCTACGAGAACTTAATACTGGAAAATATATAATTAATGTAAAGCACGATATTTTGAATCAGGCCAAATTTTTCAGATTTTCACACATATCTCTTGAAAGCCGAAAACCCTTGAGTGATAAAAGACGTATCTAATAGGACACACAATACAATGGTAGAAAAGGTTAAATATTTAGTTAACTATAGATTATGCAATCAAACATCACTAAATTTCACAAGACTGTCTGTTTTGTTTCAAGTGCTCTCTGTGGAATAATTTGTTGCATTTACCACTTGTTTAAAATAGTTAGTACAAAATAAAAGAAAATAATGTGACAATTTAACCTGGAAAATAGGTTTAAACTACCAAGTGATAGAGTTCTGATACAACGGTATAGTAAACTTTTCTTACATTTTACTCATTTCTAGATGTTTCTAGATGTTTCTAGATGTTTCTAGATGTTCGATTTACATTGTAACCTTTTAACCCTTTTTCTGATCAATGGTGAATAAGAAATCTTTATAGTTTTAGTTTAAAATTAATTATTTTCATTGGTGGTTTTCTTAAAAAGATAGATGCGGATTTTGACGTCAAAGAAAAACATGAAAAATTGTCAGAATTCAACACGTTTTAAGATAGGAAAACAAAGATATCTTCCTCATTGTTACTCAGACATATAGAGGTTTGAATCAGACATATATATGGAGGCTAAATAGAACATCTTTAGGCCCGGTCTATTTAAACAATAATCGTGTATGTTAATTGCGAACATTTCTAGAGAAAGACATTTCTTAGACGGAACATATAAGAGACAGGACATTTTATAGAAGACATCTCATAGACAGGACATTTTATAGAAGACATTTCATAGACAGGACATTTTATAGTAGACATAATATAGACAGGACATTTTATAGAAGACATTTTATAGACAGGACATTTTATAGAAGACATATTATAGACAGGACATTTTATAGAAGACATATTATAGACAGGACATTTTATAGAAGACATTTTATAGACAGGACATTTTATAGAAGACATTTCATTGACAGGACATTTTATAGAAGACATTTTATAGACAGGACATTTTATAGAAGACATTTCATAGACAGGACATTTTATAGAAGACATTTCATAGACAGGACATTTTATAGCAGACATTTTATAGACAGGACATTTTATAGATGACATTTCATAGACAGGACATTTTATAGAAGACATTTTATAGACAGGACATTTTATAGAAGACATTTTATAGACAGGACATTTTCTAAATAGGACATTTCATAGAGAATATTTTTCTTCCAAGTAATAATATACGATAAATCATAGCCTTTTCTTTCTATATAAATTAGTAACTCAAACTGATCATATTTTCTAAAATTGTGACAAAAATACTTTCCTGTCTATGAAATTACTTATCCATGAAAATTCTACTCCGTCTATGAAATATTCTGTCTTTGAAAAATCTGCTCTGTTTTTGAAATGTCCAATCTAAGAAGAGTTCTTTCTATGAAATGTACAATCTTTGAAATGTCCTATCTATGAAGAGTTATTTCCATGAAATGTCCTATCTATAAAATGTCCTATCTATGAAATGTCCTATCTATGAAGAGTTCTTTCTATGAAGTGTCCTATATACGAAGTGTACTATCTATGAAGTGTCCTATCTATGAAGAGTTCTTTCTATGAAATGTCCTATATACGAAGTGTACTATCTATGAATTGTCCTATCAATGAAACGTCTATGAAATGGCCTGTCTATTTAAATGTCCCAACACCGTCAAATCAGATTAAATATCATTCTGGCCAGCTCATACACATAATTTGAGGGCAAAAAGAATAACCATGATTATGTGACATTTTTAACCATAGAGAATAGAATATATATTAGAGGGGAATTTAGGGAATCTCTCGGTATGAATTTTTGCAGTCCCTTTCAGCTTGAAAGGGAGTTCAAAGTGTACAAATAATGTAAATGTTCACAAATTATATGCAGTAGAGTACATTAATACAGTATGTTCCCTAGACTATTCATTTCAAAAGGTGTTAGTTAACCGAATTAAGGGCAGTTTAAATTGCACCCCGCGACCGACGGCTTATAGAAATAAACTATATATGAATTGGTTCAGAGCTGTAGAAAGGAACATATCTAGATTAACCCGCATCAGCATAATATACAGGGTTACCCACAAAAGAAGAGATTTGAGATACGACTTTACGGATTTATACTGAAGTATATCTACATGTTTCCTCATATTCATGATTCTTTAAACTTTAAACTTTTGAGACTAAATTAAACCTTGAAATCCTTCTATTTTAACAATTTTAAGTCGTCAGTTTAGTCTCATCCTTTGGAGTAACCCTGCACATTACTTAGAAACTACATGGAAGCAAACAATTGTTTAAAATGTTATAACAGAATTTAAGCATTCAGAAATATTATTCCACAAAATTCCTACGTCACACTCACTTTAAACTAAACTAAATTGGAAGTTTTCAATCCAATTTTTACTCCAGTTATTCAAGAGCTATTGAGTATAACAGAAATGTTTTTAATTTCTTATATGACCGGAATCCGGATAAACTTGCATTTTTCGTACTTGTGCGTAAAATCAAACCTTCCTGTTAGTTTAGCGTGAAGTATTTTTAAGAGGAGATTGTTGAAAGGGATCAGACGATATAAGATTTATGCTGTTTTAATTTTAAATAATAATTTACTTAATTTTGTTTAACTTCGATGAAAATATATCCTTTTAGTTATCTTTGAGTCAAATATGAATTTCATGGTTTTTAAAATATATTTTAAAAAACAAGAAAGTTAATATTCTATTTACTTAAAAATATTTTAGAAAGGTTTAAATACAAAATATAAAAAAAAAATTGATCTAGAGCTACAGAATTGAACCAATATGCTTCTTGTAAATGGAAAGATAGAATAAATCAAATAACATATTTCTCCAATTCTTATTTCTTGTATTTGCAAAGCTAGGTTACAACACAGTCCTTAAAACATAATAATCCTGAAATATTATGCCTAGTCAAGGAATAGGGTCGGACAAAGTAAAAGGTTCAATTTATTTTCATAAACCAATTTTACCTTTAATAGTTAAGGGTTAAGTTTTAAACCAAATAAAAAAATATAATGAAAAAAAAAGTTTTTGGCATAAATATCAACAATATTCATCATTCTCTGCAACTTTAAACTTGTTTCTTTCTTTGACAAATCATTAAATAAGCCATGCAGAAGACTAAATTAAATCCTTCTATTTTAACAATTTCAAGTCGTCATTGTAGTCTCATCCCTTGTGAGTAACCCTGTACATTTCTTAGAAACTACATGGAAGCAAACAATTGTTTAAAATGTTATAACATAACAGAATTTAAGCATTCAGAAATATTTTTCTACAAAATACCTACGTCACACTCACTTTTAACTAAACTTAATTTGAAGTTTTTAATTCAATTTTTACTCCTGAAGAGGTATAGAAATATTTTGAATTTCTTGTATGTTAGCGGGTAAACTTGCATTTCTCGTACTTGTGCGTAAAATTAAAACTAGAGAAGCAGAAATGTCACGTGACCTTCACCTTCTCATTAGAAGCGTGAAGTATTTTAAGAGGAGATTGTTGAAAGGGATCAGACGGAATACAATTTATGCTTTTTGAATTTTAAATAATAATTTACTTTATTCTGTTTAACTTTGATGAAGGGGGGGGGGTGGAAATATATCCTTTTAGTTATCTTTGAGTTAAATTTGAATTTCATGGTTTTTAAAATATATTTTTTAAAAACAAGAAAGTTAATATGCTATTCACTTGTTAAATATTTTAGAAAGGTTCTATACAAAATATGAAAAAAAATGATCCAGAGCTACAGAATTGAACCAATATGCTTCTTGTAAATGGAAAGATAGAATAAATCAAATAACATATTTCTCCAATTCCTACATCTTGTATTTGCAAAGCTAGGTTACAACACAGTCCTTAAAACATAATAATCCTGAAATATTATGCCTATTCAAAGAATAGGGCCGGACAAAGTAGAAGGTTCAATTCATTTTTATAAACCAATTTCATACCTTTAATAGTTAAGGGTTAAGTTTTAAACCAAATAAAAAAATATAATGAAAAATAAAGTTTTTTGACATAAATATCAACATGTAGGAATTGTAAAATAATACATTTATTTCAGGTAGTTTTTAGTACGTCAAAAGGTAATTTTTTTCAACTAGTCTTTATCCTGTGAGCTCATACAACTTGTAGGGTGGGGTGGCCATTGTGCGACGTCCGTTCTCGTTAGATCACTGAAGTTACAAGCACACTTGTCCACAGCCAGTAACTGGATCGGTATCTAGACTGGTGTTCATGGGTTTGATTCCCGCACTCCTCACAAACCTGTGAATTCAAAATCATTGATGCCAACCTTACGGATGAAGGAGGACAGATGGGAGACTGTCAACATCTCTCGCAGCGTGCGTGCTTTCTACTCAACAAGAAAGAAGCTTACTAGGTTACAACACAGTCCTTAAAACATAATAATCCTGAAATATTATGCCTAGTCAAGGAATAGGGTCGGACAAAGTAAAAGGTTCAATTTATTTTCATAAACCAATTTTACCTTTAATAGTTAAGGGTTAAGTTTTAAACCAAATAAAAAAATATAATGAAAAAAAAAGTTTTTGGCATAAATATCAACATGTAGGAATT